AGGTAAAACCTCACGAATATCAGAAACTCCACTCCCTGAGGGAATCAGCTGGGGTCTCAGCCCTTGCCGGAGGTGTTCCTGGCTTTAAGTGGGGACACAAATCTACTTGACTGCAAATGTGTCCATCTGGTGGGGGCAAGCATGCCATTTGTGGGACAGAGGTTCTGCATACCTGATAGCAGTTTGTCAGGCAGTCAGCCACCATCCTTTCCTCCTTTATCTTTTCTTCAAGGAAGAAGACTGGGTCCGTAGAAAGAAAGGCTTCTGGAAAAGAGAGAAGGCATGAGAACCTATGGAGGAGAGAAATTCTCCCTCACAGCCCAGAAGTCAGCCCGTCCTCATGAATCCCATGTATTCCCACACTTTTTTTACAGCATGGGGATTGAATATTTAGGATTCCATGTTTGCTACGTGAGTGCTGTATCACTGAGCTGCATCTCCAGCCCTTTTCTTTATTTTATTTTGAGACAAGGTCTCAGGAAGTTGCTCAGATTGGCCTCCAACTTGCAATCTTCCTGCCCCAGCCTCCAGAGGAGCTGGGATTGGAGGGATGCACCACTGCCCCCACCCTAACCCAATATATTGCAGCACACCCTCACCTTCACACCCTCACCCACCACTGTAGCTGTCTTATTTTATAAGACAGGAAACTCCCGGCCACACAGATGGAAACACTTCTCCCTGTCATGAGAGATTATGCAGCATCTCTGTGAAATATATGCAGGGACTGATTTAACAATAGTGTTCTCTGGGCCACTTTAGCATCTTGAAAATTAACTAAGAAAGGTACAGCGACTACTCAGGCCTGGGCCACAAAAATGTTTATACTTATAATATTCAGGGAGGGCTTGAGTCAGATTCTCTAAAGGGGAACATCGGCAGAACTTTGCATGGGCTCCACCCATGGCTGCCGGCCCATGAGCCCGAGAGTGAAACATGCCTGAATGACCTTTTCCCAGATGCCCTTCATCACAGCTTATGAATGTGAGTGATTATGGGAAATCTTCATTCTTCCTTACACAGGCTTATCTGGAGTTCTGGTAACGTCAGTCATTCAACAAACCTACATCCTCATCACTCATCATATACTGCCTCCCTCTCTGCAGATGATAAGAATGGAAGCCACTATAAACAGTATACTCTTAGCTGGGCATGGCAGAGCATGCCTGTAGTCTCAGCATTGGGCAGGCTGAGGCAGGAGGATCAGTGAAAGTTCAAGGATAGCCTGGACTACATAGTGAGTTCAAGGCCAGCCTGGCATACATGGTGATATGCTGTCACAAAACAAAACAAAACAAAACAAAACAAAACAAAACAAAACAAAACAACCAGTACCCTCTGTAACATGAGTATTACTAACACACTGTCATCTATTGAGGACAAACATGTCTGAATTTCAACTAGGAGGATTATACATATGAGCTCACTTATTTACCCTACCAACCCTTCACAGTATACACCTCGCTGCCCTATTTAATGATGAGAAAACAGATTCAGACAATACAAGTAACTGTTCATGTATCACCCAGATGCAAAGTGGTGATTCTGGACTGTGGGCAGACAGCTGCTGCCTAAGCTTGGTCTCCTGTCATTGTTGTGAGCACCACAGAACGACCAGAAGTGAGTCTAGACCTTCACTGTAGAATAGAGTGGCCACTGGACATGTGCTACTAATCATCTCATATGAAGTGAGTATGATTAAGGATATTTTGTTTAAGACAGAATTTCGCTGTGTAGTTCAGGCTGAGCCTGAACTATGTAGTCCAGGCTGGCATTATGTTTGCAGCAATCCTCCTGAGTGCTGGGACTACAGGTGTCTATCACCATATCTGGCTCCTTAAGGATATTTTCTATTCTTTTTTTTTAGTTTTAATCAATTAAAATTTAAACCAAAGATCTGAAACTTCCTTCAGTTCATTACAAACTTGAGAATATTTATACCCATTGGATAAGTAGTTTTTCCACTCTTAATTTTATGATACAATGAGAAATCAAGTGTATCTCATCAAAATGTAGTATCCAATGAATATTGGCGAATTATGGTGCACATATATCACTGTGGTATGATGTTTTTAATTCTTCCAGGAAAATACCAGAAGGGCAATAGCTGGGTTGAATGGGTCCTTCAATCCTAGTTTTTTGAGGAATTTCACACTGATTTCCACAGTAGTTGCACCAGTTTTCATTCCCGCCAACAGTGGAGGACAGTTCCTTTTGCCCCACAACCCCTCCAGCATTTATTATGGGTTGATTTCTTGATAATAGCCATTCTTTCTGGGGTGAGATGGAATCTCAGTGTTGTTTTAATTTGCATCTCTTAAATGGCCAGTGATGTTGAACATTTTTTCATAAATTTATTTGTTGTTTGTATTTCATCTGAGAAAGGTGTATTCATCTCTGCCCCTTTTTGGATTGGGTCTTTAAACTTGGGAGGTCTCACTTTTTGAGCTCTTTATATGTTTATATGATCCATTTCAAATTTAGTTTAGCATATGGTGAAAGATATGGATCCAATTTTAATCTTTTGCATGTGCAGAGCCAGTTTTTCCAGCACCATTTATTAAAGAGGGTATCTCTATTCCAGTGAATGTGTTTAGCACCTTTATCGGAGATAAGGTGGCTGAGTATGTCTAGAGTTGTTTCTGCATTTTCTAATCTGTTCCATTGATCTTCAGCTCCGTGTTTTTGCCAGTACCATGCTGTTTTTATCACGGTAGCTTTATAGTGTAATTTCAAGGCAGGGATTGTGATTCTCCTTGCCTTACCTTTGTTGCCCAGAATTGTCTTCACTAATCTAGGTCTCTTCTGGTTCCAAATGAATTTTAGGATTGTTTTCTTTAATTCTGTTATATGCTATTGGAATTTTGATCAGTATTGCATTAAATCCATATAACAGTTTTGGAAGTATGGCCATTTTCACTATGTTGGTTCTTCTTACCCAACAGCAAGAGATATCTTTCCATTTTCTGATGTCCACTTCAATCTCCTTTTTCAGAGTACTGTAGTTTTCAATGTAGAGGTCTTTTACATCCTTCATTAGATTGATTCCTAGGTATTTCATTTTGGGGGATGCTATTGTGAAAGGTGCTGTTTCCCTAATTTCTCTCTCAATGGGTTTGTTATTTGTGTACAGGAAGGCTATTGATTTTTGAGTGGTGACTTTGTATTCAGCTATGTTATTGAATTTGCTTATTAAATCTAGTGGTTTTTTAGTGAAGTTTTTGGGGTCTTCTATGTAGAGTATCATGTCATCTGCAAATAATGATAATTTAACTTCTTCCTTTCCTATCATTATTCCTTTTATTTCTTTCTCTGTCTAATTGTGCTGGCTAAAGTTTCCAGGACTATGCTGATTAAGAGTGGAGACAGTGGACATCTTTGTCTTGTTCCCAATTTTAGACAGAAAGCTTTCAGTTTTTGTCCATTTAGTATGAAGTTGGCTGTCAGTTTGTCATAGATGGTTTTTATCAGATTGAGAGAAAGACCATCTATTCCAATTTTCTGCAGGGTTTTTATCATGAATGGGTACTAGACTTTGTCAAAACCTTTTTCTGTATTTATTGAGATGATTATATGGTTTTTAATCCTTGCCTTTTTAATACAGTGTATTACATTTATTGATCTGCATATGCTGAACAATCTCTGCATTCCTGGGATGAATACCACTTGGTCACTGTGTATAATATTCTTGATGATTTGCTGCATTCTGTTTTCCAGTGTTTTATTGAGGATTTTTGCATCCATGTTCATTAGGGAGATTGGCCTCTAGTTCTCTTTCTTAGTTAGATCCTTCTCCAGTTTCGGTATCAGGGTAATACTTGCTTCTTGGAATGCATTTGGGAGTATGGCTTCCCTTTCAATTTCGTTAAAGTTTTGAGAAGTAGTGATGTTAGGTTTTCTAGGAGAACTCTTCTACTGAGCTTTATCCACAGCCTTTTTTGAGATGGAGTCTTCCTACTGAGCCTTGAACTTGCAATTCTCTTGCCTCAGCTTCCAGGATAACTTTGATTGTAGACCACTGTGTGCCACCACACCCAGCTCTAGTAATTCTTTTTGAGAGGGTCTGAAGTTAGGATCCCCTGCATTTTTAGAGAATTCTGCCTGTCATGGATGGCATATTCATTCATTCTCTGTCTCTGTCTGTTGGAGAATGGAGAAGGAACACAGAGCCTCATCCACAGTAGGCAAGAGCTCTACCACTGAGTTACACCCTAGCTCCTCCCCTGGATCTCTTTTTTTTTCTACCAGTGCTTATCAGTACCTACCAGAGACTGCCTCATCAATGGGACCCAGTGATTGACATCTAATAGACAATGGAGATCCTTTCCAAACACTATCCATGTACACCTGGGTAATGGTGAAGTAACTGTTCATTACAAAATATAGCCCTGAGTCTAGTCCATGTACTGTAAGTATTCTACAACCCAAGGGCAGGAGAAAGGTGCCTTCCTTCACACCGTCACCCACCACTCCTGGCTTGTTTGTACTGAAGAGACCATTTCTGTGGATACTCCATGCACTAGTTCTTACACATGGATCTGCCCACCAGTCAGGGCTGGCTGGCATCCCATAGGATTGTACAATGATGGCCAGGTGACTGCTGACCACTGCTGGCCCAGACATTACAGCACCCATGTTCATCTTCCAAAAGGGAGCAATGACATCTCCAATAACACTTGAGGAAGCCACATCTTGGGGAGAGAGCTGTGACACATATGCCCTCCCTTGCTTTCCATCTGGGCATCCCCCATGGCCTCGTGCCCTCATAAGTAAAGCTTCTGTGTTAACTCCCATGGTGTCCAACCTTCTGGCTTGTGTAGGATGAAATGAATGAAGAGGAACTATCTTGGGCCACATATAGAATATATACCACAGTTAATGGTTATAAGTAATAAAACTACCTTTAAACTTTGTATTTCTTATTATGACATTAAAAAGAAGACAGAGGAGAAAGAGGAAAAGCAGGAAAAGGAAGAAGAGGAAGAGAAGGGAGATGGAAGAGGAGCAGCAGGAGCAGGAAGAGAAAGAAGAGAAGGAGGAGGAGCAAGAAGAGGAAGAGGAGAAGGCAATGGTGGCAGCAAGAGGCCCTGAGTTGGACAAGTCTGTAAGTATCTGTTAAGTGTTTTCCTTAGGGCTTGGGAGTACAGTGGGGTGGATACAACTCAGTTTTGCCTAGCATGTACGAAGCCCTAGGTTTCATCCCTAGCACCATAAAAAAAAGTTCCTTACATCTTTATTTTATAATCTTCCTGTTTAAAATAATCAGAGAGCATGGCTTAGTGTAGAGTGTTTGTCTAGCATGCAAGAGGCCCTGGGTTCTACCACCAGCACTGCTAAATAAATAATCAAGGAATAATTTTTGTCTCCTTGTAGGATCTAGATTGAGATAGACAGTGACCCTAGGAGAGGAAGCTGTAAAGATCTCTCTCTCTCTCTCTCTCTCTCTCTCTCTCTCTCTCTCTCTCTGTCTCTCAGCATCTTTAGGCATTGCAGGCCACATAGCCTGTGTTATAATTTAGCATGAAAGTTATAAAACACTAGTAAACAAATATGATTGTGTTCCAGTAAGACTTTATGTACAAGCTAGGTACAGTGTTGCATGTCTGTAATCCCAGAACTCTGGGAGACAAAGACAGAAGGATCACAAATTCAAGCCGAGTCTACATAACTTAGTAACTTAGGGAGACCCTGTCTCTAAAATAAAAAGGGATGGGAATGCCGGGTGTGGTGGCACATGCCTGTAATCCTAGCACTTGGGAGACTGAGGCAAGATCTTTGGGAGTTTGAGACCAGCCTGGGCTACAAAGTGAGCTCAAGGCCAGCCTGAATTGCATAGCAAGACCCTGTCTCCAAAAAAAAAAAAAAAAAGGATGGGGATGTAGTTCATTGTGAAGGCCCTGTGTTCAATGTCCTGTACCGCCTAACAAAAACCAACAAAAAACTCCCATAACTTTATGCACAAAAATAGCTGGATGGAGCTGGGCCTGGTGGTGCATACCTGTAACCCTAGCACTTGAGAGGCCAAGGTAGGAGGATTGCTGCAAGTTCAAGGCCAGCCTGGGCTACATAGTGAATTCAAAGCCAGTCTGAACTACATAGTGAGACCTTGTTTCAAAAAGCCAAACACAAAACAAACTGACAAACAAAAAAACAGCTGGATGACTAGACATGGTCCACAGCCACTGTGAGCCCCTGTGTATATTTGAATACTGTTTGATTTATGTACCAAGGAGGCCTCCAATATGGTAGCCTTGCTCAAGCCTTCACCACAGAGATCTATAATCATTTACTAGAGTGATTATACACTGGACATTAAGTAACCAGATGGCCATGAGATGACAAGGAACCCTGGTGACATAAAATACTACAGTGGCCCACCAGTCAAGCTAAAGGTTTATTAAGAGTCAAGTGAATTAAAGTAAATTAAAGAACTAAGTGCAATGAATTCCTGAACAGTCAAAACTAGTTAGTCCTCACTGTGAATTTAAAGTAGCTTGATTTGAAAATACAAGCAAACTGAATCTGTTTCTTATAAATGCTTATAATTCAAAAAAGAGAGAGAAAGCAAAAAGTGGGCATGGTGGTGCACACTTGTAATCTCAGCACCTGAGAGGCTGAGGCAGGAGGACTGTCATGAGTTCAAGGCCAGTCTGAATTACATAGCAAGACCCTGGCTCAAAAAACAAACAAAACAAATATAAGGCTATCCAGTCAGAAACCTCTCATCTACAGTTGTGTATCTAGGGACTTTCAAGCCAAACAGACCAAACCAGGCAACTGTGTAACTATAATCAAGCACATATGTTTTCTGCTTTACATTCATGTTTACCTGAAAACAGCATTCTTCCTGCCTTCCATATTAGAGCCCCAAAGCCACTTACAATGTGGGGGTGCTCAATTAATGAACTGTTGTTTGGAAAAATACTCAGGACCTTGTGCCTACCAGGCAGGCACTGTGCCACTCAGCTATATCTCCCCTTTCCCTAGTTTACATTTTAACAATTCTTCATCCAATTCACAGAGGGCCCAACTGAACAACACACCCATATTATGGTTATTTTCCTACTTCCTTCATGTATACGTGGAATACAGACATTCATGACAACTGGCAGCATCCCTTAAATTTGCTCTTTGACGTAGAAGATGAAGGCTTTTATGACAGAAAGAGGTACAAGCAGGGAATCCCTACCCTCTTACATAATAAATCAGAAATAACAGAACATTCATGGAGGAATAAATACTATCACTTTCCTGTCACTGAGAAAAAATATCCAATACCAGAATCTCCTATATGTCCAATGATGAGAAAATGACTAAAACATATTTTGGTACTGAGAGTGGAACTGTTGCTGTGACTATACATGACCATGTGATTTAAAAGCTTTAGGAAGTGGTTTGTGGGAAGAGTTTGGAAAGGTAGGGAGGTTTGTATAGAAGCCCTAGAATGATGTAAGCCAAGCTTAGGAGATTCTGGTCAGAGCTGGGAAGACTAGAATGCTGATACAAATGCAGACAGTAAAAACCAAGCTCAGGAGAGTTATAGTGAGATACAGTTGGGAACAAAGACTCCATTGGCAGTTTAACTAGACCCCAGGTATGTACACCCTGGAAGAAAATTTCTCTTCATTTTGCCTATGTCCTGAGACTTCTTCAGAGACTGATATTAAGGGTTGTCAACTAATTAATCTGGTAGAAAAACCTCAAAGCAGCTCAATGTTCAGGAAGTCATATGGGTATTACTCACTGTTTTTAGCCAGATTTATAGTGAGATACAGGAGCAAATACAAGAGTCAATAGATGTGAAAAGCTTTCAGTTTCGACAAAAAGGAACTATCTGCAAAGTTGGGGCCCTGGACAGTGTGGCTACTGAAACAATTAGTACTAAAATGAAGCCAAGTATTTTTCATCAGGACAATAGGAAAGATGGCTTGAGGGTATGTCAGGAATCAGCAAGAATCTACCACTCACAAGCTCAAGGGCACAAAACTGTAAAACTTTCATTTGAGAAGAAAGCCTCAGGCTCCCTGTTCCAGAAGGGGTGAGTACGAAATTGGATCCTTGGGATTTGTTTCAGTACTCAGCCATCCAGGTATTCACAGACCTCTAAGGCCATGGTCTAAGGGGGATTGGCTACTGTGTGAGCTGGTGGCAAACGTTGGTATCATCCATATGGTGCTGGTTTTTCAGGAAAGTAGAATGTCAGAGTTATGTGGTCATGGAGGTTTCCACCCAGATTTAAGACAATGACATGGGAGGCAGTGTTTGAAGCTGCAAGAATGAAGCTGAAAGTACAGTGGAGACACTCTTGCCACAACTTGCTCCAAAGTGCTGGACATACAACTACAGGATTTGGGGCCAGGGATATAGCTCAAGGGCATACATGCCTGTCTGGCAAGCACAAGGTCCTGAGTTTGATTCCTGGTACCAAAAAGAAAAGAAAGAAAAGAAAAGAAAAGAAAAGAAAAGAAAAGAAAAGAAAAGAAAAGAAAAGAAAAGAAAGGAGGAAGGAAGGAAGGAAGAAAGAAAGAAAGAAGAAAGAGAAAGGAAGGAAGGAAGGAAGGAAGGAAGGAAGGAAGAAAGAAAGAAAGAAAGAAAGAAAGAAAGAAAGAAAGAAAGAAAGAAAGAAAGAAAGAAAGAAACTACAGGATTTAATGTTTGCCCTGCTGGATTTCAATCTTTAGCCCATTTCTTCTTATCCCCTTATTTCTTCCTTTTGAAATGGGAATGTTTACCCTGTGCCATTGTATGTTGGCAGTATTTAACTTTCTTGATTTTTACAGGGTCTCACATCTAAGAGTTTGCCTTGAATCTCAGAGAAGACTGTGGATTTGGACTTTCTGGCAATGCTGAAACTGTTAGGCTTTGGTGACATTAAGTGGTAGGTTAGATGTATTTTGCATAAAGAGATGGATGAGTCTTTTGGGGATCAGAGGTGGAATGTTATAGTCTAGATCTATATCTCCCCCCTAAGGTTTATGTGTTCAGAGGTTGGGCTTTTGGAAGGTGATTAGATCATAGGGGCACTACACTCATAAGTGAATGAATACCCCAATGAATTACCAGCTGAGTGTGCTGTTATGGAGACTGGATGGAAGAGTGGGTCAGTGAGGGCATTTATCTGAAATGGTCTATCTCCTTCCTCAGTCCCTCCCTGTCCTCTCTGCTTCCTGGACACTATGACATGAGTAGCTCACATTCGCCACTTCCATTATTTCCTTTCTGACTTAGAGCCTACCAACTATGGATTGAATCCTCTAAAAATCCTAAGCCAAAATAGATCTCTCCTCCTTTATGTTGTGGGTATCAGGTATTATGTTCAGTGACAAAAAGATGGCTAAGAAAAATACCAATTTAAAAAAACCTTCAAACACTTCAAATAACCAGGAATCCTAACACTTAACTCATCCCAATTTAATTCACCACAGAAGCCAGTACAGGAGTCACTTGGGAAGAATGACTATGTTAGTCAGTTTTCTGGTGCTATAACAAAATACTTGAGACAACCAACTTATAAAGAAGATTTATTTTGGCTTCAGAGATTTTCATCCATGCTCAACTGGGCCAATTGTTTTCAGGCCTATGGCAAGGCAGTAGTACATCAAGGTGGAAGCATATAGTGGAGGAAAGCTGCTCACCTCATGGTTGCTAGGAAGCAAAGAGAGTTGAGAGAGGCAGAGGTCTCAATATTTCATTACAGACCTAACTTCCTTGAATTAGGCTCTACCTCAGGCTTGTACCATCTCCCAGTAGTGTCACAAGCTAGAAACCAAGCCTTTAAGACATGGTCTTTGATGGATATTTAAGATCCAAATGATAACCGTCAGTTATCATGAATTTAGTCAGGCAGTAACTCCCAATTGTTGATTTTTTTATGGGAGTCTATTTTTTGATACAAGGTTTTGTTATGTTGCTCAGGTTGGCCACCAACTCGAAATCCTTCTGCTGCAGCTTTCCAAGAGGCAGAATGTATCACTATACCCACTTAAAATTGTTTTTCAAGACATAGTATATTTACAGAAGAAAATCAACACAATCTCTACCACTTGGCATGCAGGTACTGACAAAGCTAGTCTCTTTTTTCAAACTGATTTAAAACAAACAGAA